GACCTGGAATGGGGAAAGGTTTCGTTTCTTAGCAATCATATCCAATGGATACGAGCAGAATGGATCAATGGTATTCCTCTTCCTTTCCAAGCTAACTTCAAAGTAGATTTTGTTTGCCTTTATAACTATTACCCACATGATCAAGTCTGACTACATAATGCTCTTTTGGGAATTCAGCATTCCTATTATTTATTTATTTATTTACTTGGTAAATTTATATGCCGCCCATCTCGCTACCAAGAGCAACCTTTTACAGTGCGATCACTAATTGTGGAGAATACATATTTTTCTTTCTTTCTTTCTATGGACCATGCCTATAACATATACGCGCTCTTAAACTACTGCTAAGCCAAACAACACTGATTTTTAAAAGTGATAAAGATACATTTGCCCTTAAAAGTTGCAGCAAATTCATGGATATGGAGCAGTTTTGTTTCAAAGGAAACAACGGTACTGTATTTCCAATGTAAGGATTGCCAAGGATCTATAGGCCTCTCTTTTTTAACCAAAGATGCTTTTTTTTACCCGGGATCATATTGCAATTACAGATGGCAGCCCTGTGATCCTTGGATAAGAAAACAGTTGCTTTAAGGAGTTGATCCCAGGTGCTACATGAGCCCCCCCCCATTTTAAACTATCATTTCCCTTTGAATCCAAAATGCTGCATTCCTACTTACTTCTTTCTATATCAAATAAATTAGCTGCTTTTGATACGTTACAGAACTTTGTTGACTCAGGGTAGTCAGAAGTTTGGGGGTTCTGGTCGATATTATTCTACTCCCAGAAATGAAACCTTTTAGCTGGAAAGCTTGGGGATGAACAGGGGGTCTTATCTATAAACCCAAGCCAACCATTTTTTCAGGGGTTAACATGCTTACGTGAGGGGACAATATGTGTTACGCTGAGCAGTGTGCAAGATGGGAAGCAGATGAAGCCAACTCTGCAACATGTGCTCGGTAGCATGTGAACATTTACTGTAATGCAGCTGGTTATGGGAGTTGAATTCAGGGTTATTTTAGCAGTTGTGGTATTATTGTGGATCTGATAGTCTGGAAACTATTATTATGTGAATTCTTAATTACAGGATAGCCTAATCTTTGATCTAAATGTTAATGTCTCTAATCATTTCTTTAGCTCTTTCATTTTAAGCAGAAGTAATAATGTTTACTTTGCAAAATGCTTGATGTTTATTAAGTAAACTGTCCTTCATCCTTGCAGATATCAAGAGGGGTTATAACTTCACTTAAGTACCCTCCTAATAACATCAAGGTTTATCTTGGGTATCATGAGAAGTAATTTCTGTGATTGTGAGGTTTTTGTTTTTGTTTTGATACCGCTGGAATAGAACTAGCAGCAAAAGTTTATTAGTACATGGCTTTTTTCTATGTACAATTTCCTTACCTAGAAATAACAGGATGTATATGCTGTTTGAATATGTGAATAAGTCTGTTCTTGGCAGCTGATTTTTATTCTGGTTTCAATAAATTTATGAAGCTATAAGGATCTGAAAGCTTCTGAAGTTATAGTAATATATTGTATAGGATCTTTTGTTTCTTTTGTATTATAACGTGGAATAATTTACAATTCAAAATTGTTTTTTTTTCCCCTGACATCTTTAAAATTAAAACCAGCCATTAACTCCCTGAAGTTGGTGGACTTTTTCTAAAGACTAAAGTAATAGTTTTGTGTTTTTTTTAATAAAGCATATGTTCTGAATTACTTGTCTTTTAGATTGTATTTGCAAGTCACTGACTAAACCATTTTCTTCTTATATTTTCTTGTTTGTGCATAAGCCAATTCTCAAACTTATAAGTGAACATATCTGTTGAAATAATTATTTTAAGAAGAAATTAACAATAGTCAAAATGCTGATTTTGTTGATTCGTTACAGTAAGTTTGCAACACATTTTTTCCAAGTGGAAGAAATTATTAAATGCTCTGATTTTCATCCCAAATTAACACAAGAATTTAGAATTTATACTGGCCATTGCTTTCAGTGATTTACTTTTAAATAAAGACTGTTTTCTGTAGTAGGGTTTGTTTTTTTTCATCCTCCAGGCCAGGAAAATTAAGAAAATATTCTTATGGATTTGTTGCTTCTTTTCATGTTTCTCTAAATGGATAATAGTTTAATTTAATAGTTTAATTTGGTAAGGTATGATAGGCATTATTTCTAAACTGTTTGCCAAACCAGATTATAAAACTAGGTTCAGTTTGTTTGATTGTAACCCATAGTGTTTGAGTGGCTTATTCTCAGATAAATGTGCTTGAAGTTGCGTCCATAAGCATATTAACATCTTTATAGACAACCAAATCCAAATTTTGAACCACTTCTGGAAATAAGAAATTAGCCCATGTCCCTTCTTTGGCAAATTTTTCTGGAGCAGCCAAAGCTCAAGTCCAAATTGGATGAATTTACAAGTTGTTAATTTGAGACATGGGAAGCATGAAAGAGATCTGGCATCAGTTCTGAGGTTCTTGATCAGGTTTGAACTGTGCCATGTGGAAAGAGGGATAGTCTGCAAAATGAATCATTTTATTCCACAATTGTTTATATTTCAATAATCACTAAGAATAAACAGCAAAGCACTGAATATATTGCTTGTTTGTTTGTTTGTTTGTTGTATTGTTTAATCCTAATTCCATTACTGTATAGAGCTTGCCTAAATATAGGGACACGGTGGCTCAGTGGCTAAGACACTGAGCTTGTCAATCGAAAGGTCAGCGGTTCGAATCCCTAGTGCCATGTAACGGGGTGAGCTCCCGTTACTTATCCCAGCTTCTGCCAACCTAGCAGTTCGAAAGCACGTAAAAAATGCAAGTAGAAAAATAGGGACCACCTTTGTTGGGAAGGTAACAGCGTTCCGTACGCCTTTGGCATTTAGTCATGCCGGCCACATGACCATGGAGACGTCTTTGGACAGCGCTGGGTCTTCAGCTTTGAAATGGAGATGAGCACCGCCCCCTAGAGTTGGGAACGATTAGCACATATGTGTGAGGGAACCTTTACCTTACCTTTAAATACATAAAGTCCCAAAAACAAATAAATGGGAATTGTTCTGCCTATTTCACCACATCCTACTAAATTGTTAGTATTTGATCTTTTGTAACTATTGATTAATTTGCTATTGAGGCATGATATGTTATCAGTTGCTCAGTGTGATGGCCCTTTATGTTTCTACTCATTCTGTTGCCATAGAGTAGGGTGATGAAGCACTAGGAGGGGACGGGAGAATAGTTGATAGCCTATCAGCAACTTGGCAAAAGACATGTTTTTTCTTCCGTATTTGCTCAATAAGTAAAAACTTGTGTTGAAGCAAGTAGTTCATTATAGCTGACAAGATTATGGAGACGATAGTACAATCATGGCTTATACCAAAATTCTTGTAACAGAATTAAAACTGCTGTTTTCACTACCGTTTCCATCTGTGGGTTTTTTCCCATGGAGGCCCAAAAACTTCCTAGACCAGTGATGGTGAACCTTTTTGGCACCGAGTGCCCAAACCGTAATGCACGTGTGTGCACCAGAGCCCCAGAAACGTGGAGACATGCTGGCCGGTGTGCATGCGTGTGCCAGCCACCTGGTGTTCTGGTTTCCGGCTCGCACATGCGCCAGCTAGCTGCTCTTCACACGCCCCGGAGCCTCAGAAACTCAGACCTGCACACCAGCCAGCTGGTGTTCGGGTTTCCAGGGTTCTGACACGTGTGAAGATCAGCTGGACCTTTGAAAGAGACAGAATTGGCAGAATTTCCCAAGAAATTCTGTTTGGGAAAGAATTTCCGGGCACGAATTGAGAACCAACCACAACACCTTCTTACCTTCATTCTCCAGACTGCCTCAATTTCTGTTTTGGGGAGAGCTTTAAAAAAAAAAAAGTGCTGTTGTCCCTCTATAGCACAGGACTATTGAACTGTGTGAATGTGGGTGAATGTAAGTGCTACAATCAGTTGAAAGTAATCTCTGGGACAATTTCTTTATGGAGAGATTCACATGACAGACTCCACTAATTCAAGTTCATACACCCTCTTGCCTGTATGGGAAAACAGTTCCCAAGCTGGATGCGTAGTTCTGTGGCACAACTCTCCAGTAATTTGGGGGATTATATACATTCCTTCAGTGGTGAAATCCTCGGCGGTTTGCCACTACTTCGCTGCCCGCGCATGCGCAGTGCGTGCCAAATGCACACTGCGCACATGCATGCACAGTTCATGCCAAATACACTGCGCGTGGAAAAAGGAGGCTTAAGAAGTTAAGTAGAACAGCGAGGGGGGGGAACAGTTGTGCCGCACAATTTAGATTTCCTGCTTTCTAGCGAATATAAATCGCGCAGCACAGCTGATCATCGGAAATACTGGTTCGGATGAACCGATAGCTTTTTTTTTACTACTGGTTCGCCCAAACCGGTAGCATTTCACCCCTGCATTCCTTCTATCCTCTTAAGCCAAGAATCCCAATTTAGATGTAATGCTAAACAAAGCCTTGATAACAAAACCTTGTTTTTCGTCATTCTCAGTGGCACAAAAACCTACCAGCATTATCTCTTTCCCCCCCTAAAATTCTAATGAATTCTGGTTTAAATCTGAGCACTGTAAGAGCAGTTGCCATTTTTAACATGTATTTTTCCTTCATGTATTTTTCTTTACTCTGAGAATCAGTTTGGAATAAATAAATAGTTTTGGGTTCTTTATAAATAAAAACATTTTCAGGCTGAAATATATTTTATCATGCTATTAAAAACTGGATTTGTTTGAAAAGATGATTTTATCTTTAATTATTTGATATTGTAACACTGATTGTTTTAGACTTACACTTTTTTAATTACAATGGAACCATATTGCATTGTTAGCATGCCTGGTTAATATTAACAATCTAGGGGTAAAATGGAAGGGGGTTTTTTGAGAGGGGAAAACACTTTAAAAAGTGTTAATAATTTAAATGTCACAGCCACATTTTAATAAGCGCTTAAATAATTTTCTTATTTTTTTCTGTATTGCAAAAGGTTCGACATCGATGGTGTGAGATGATTATTAAACACAAGTATGTGGCAGGATATGCTGATGTTGAGAAATTTCTCAAGGAAGACCAGGTCAGTGTTGTTTAGGTACCCTTATTGTATTGCCAAATGCTACATAAATTGCACAATACAGATATATAGGAAATGATCCTTCAGAGGTGCAACCAATATAAATCCTGCTTTTTGTTCAAATTTGTGCTAAAATTTGACTAAGGGTTCTTTACTGTGGCCTCAACATTGCTTATTTAGGAGCGTCATCGAGATCAGATCTCTTGCTCTGATCTCGGAGGCGGAGATGTCCAACCTTAGAGTAGAAATTCAACTTCTGAAAGCTCCTTTTTGCCTCTTTTTGCCCCTGTTGAATTTTCTTCATCTTAAATTCTGTCACTGTTGCTCATTGGCAGAGGGAATATTAATTCCCTCTGGGAAATACAAGGAAAATACAAATTAAAACAAATTTGTGTGTGGCATCAGCACTTCTGATATTACATACTGTTCACATAATTAGACCACATACAGCAAGGGATCCCCAACCCCTGGTCTGCGGACTGGCAGAAACCAGCCCCTGCAAACAAGTGAAGCCCCATCCACGGGATGCAGGCAGTATGTGAAACCAAGCCTCCTCCAGTCTGCAGAAAAAACTCCACAGAACCGGTCCTTGGTGCTCAAAAGGTTGGGGATCCACTGACTTACAGGATTGTCATTCATTCATTATTATAAGCTGCTATCACCACATGTATTAAAGTACAAAATAAACATTTATGCATTTTTAAAAAGTGTGTGTGAAAATTATTGGGGTTTTTTCCTCTTTTTGCTGAAAAAGTCTATCCATTATTTTTTTTAATGAATCTTCGGAGGGGGGAGAGTATGCAAACTCTGGAATAATACCATTTGAAATCAAACCAGTGTCTTTTTGTTCCTGTCTTGAAAGAGTATTTAGTTGTTCAAAAGTCTGAACCAAATGCCAATATGACCAGTTAATATTTAAGATAATAGAATTTCCAATTCTAAACTTGGATGTTTGAACTATGGAAAATGATGATGAAATAATCAAGTCAGATTTGGAATTTTTAGTGATGGATTTCCATTTCATTTTGGAAGTGACAGATTCTTAGAAGCCCAGCAAAGAGATGATAATGTCCATTCAATTTAAATCATGTATGCTGGTTTATTTCTACTTTAATGCAGAATTTCTCTCCTTGAGAGAAGTTTGCATAATGCATAACAGAAAGGGGAGAAATTTTAGATTGACCCATTTTTCTTCCTTCCTATTTGTAAGAAATAGAAATAAGGGAAGCGTATTATTTCAAGCACAAAGAGAACAAAATAATTTTTCAAAAACAGTGTAGGTTGTCTAAGTGTACAAAGTCGTCATGCAATCCCAGGCTTTTAAAAGCCTATCACTATGGAAGACGAAAGGCAAATTACACTTGAAAGAATATTTCCCACCTAGGCTATCTCTCCTGAGAAGGTTTTCTTCCTGATAACCATTCTTTCTGATTTGGAGAAGTTTCTCAAGAGTTATGAGATACTAGAATTCAAGTTGGTAGAAAGTATTTTCATATCCTGGTTTCATGTGTAGACTTTTATCCATTAATGCCTGTCATAATTGTTAAGTACTGTGATGGTGAGTTTTGTAACTATTCATTGCTTTTTGTCTCCAAAACTGTTTTAGTCTGTTTTGATATTTTACTCTTTCTTTTCTCCAATTCCTCATTTTCTTAGGATCCAGTTCTAAATAATTTAGAACTGGTGGCTCTTGTGTAGTTTTTAAAATCAGTTATGGGGAGAGAGGAAAAAGGTGAGTGTATACACTGTGGAGAGGATTAGGTTTTTTCTTCATATCATCACTGGCACTGAGGAAGATATGTATACCCCCCTCCCCCCTCCCTCAAGTACTGCTTTGGCTACAAATGGTAACAATAGCAATAAAAAAAGAGTGGACAAAATTTGTGTCTTCCTTCTATCGTCTAATCTGTTTTTCAACTTTGGAAGTTGCATTTCTTTAAAATGTCTTCGCAATGGTTCATCTATCAGAATCGTCTCTTCAGTATGGATGAAAAAAGTCCACCCAATATTGTGTGGAGCCCTAAATTAGATGAATACTGTCACAATTAAATCTTGCCCAAAACTGGTCCAAAATTAACGGGTCCATAACTGACTTCAATTCCCATTGCTTTCACCAGGACCAAATGGCCTCTTGCATTGAGGTCAATTAATTTTTGTTTCATGTCTATTTGATATCTTGCATTTGCTCCCTTCAATATTAAGCTACACCTTTTAGTAAATGTGTCTCCAAAACTTTTTCAAGGAATTATTCCATCAATTAAGATGTCATCTATAAATGATATATGGGGATTTTCATGAAATATTATTGAATTTCCTGTTGTCTTCCCACTTGGGAGTTCTACTTCTGAAATGCCACAATACTTTGGAATAATTTGGAACGTTCACATGCCAAGTAAATTGGTTGTTCGTAGAACATCTAAGTCATGTTTCTATTTCTATATTCAAGGTGGAAGTAAATTTCCATTGTTCAAACAGAAACTCATTTGTTCACTTAGGTTTTCCTTAGAGATAATTACATTTCAGTTTTGCTTGGGTTTCAGAAGAAATGACTGGTTGCGTTATGCTAAAGTCTCACAGGTAATTTTAATAACAGAAAAATTTACAAAGGTCTTATGTTATTTGAAAACATCATGAAATTATATATGCTATAGGATTACTTTTTTCCTCTTACAGGCAATGGGTGTCTACCTCTATGGAGAATTAATGTTGAATGAGGATGCAAAACAACAAGAAATTGCCTATAAAACTTTTGCTACAATCCGTGACATGGATGCATCCTCAGCTAAAGTAGTGGCAGAAATGTTATCTGACAAGGTGATTTCTCCCCCCTCCCCTCAATAATTTAGTTGGGCACTTTCAAAGGCACAGCAGCTGTACCACAACAAAGCTTATAAGTGAATGAACAGAATAGTGTTATCAGATCTATTGTATCAAGTCATCTAAAATAGTGATATATCCTTGAATGGGTAAAAAGACTTTTGATGTAATTCTTATAATATTGAAGAAAGAAAAAAAAACCCTGAAATTATTCTTATTTTATCAGTGAACAAATATTTTTTTTTTCTGAATTGACTAATTTCTTCAAGAAAAAAGATAATTCAAACTATGTATCTGTTAAGTATTTGTAAGAGGTTGCAGCAACAGTTCATATGGAACTTATATAAGATTGTATGAAAAAATTCTGTATGGACTGGGATGATTTACAAGCCATTTAGTTTTCCTCATACTTGCTAGAATCTTTGCTATAGAGCTCAGTCAACTACAAAATCTTCTGAAATACTTACATAGTCATTTTTGAATTTTACAATATGCCAACTTTTTACTCAATCCTTTTTAACTTCATAAACATGAAGTATAAGGGTTCCAATGTCAACCTTAAGGGGGTATGAACATCTTAGAAAAAAATCTAACAACTAAGAACGACTTAGCTTTGATTTACTATCATGCTTTGAACATCAAAAACCAGTTTCAAATGCTTAAAAGATATATAACGAATAACTTTGGTAGTCATAAGGCAAATTTAATTATAAAACACTTCCCTCATCTGTTTAGGACTTCTGGGATGTAATTTTATAATACATGTATGGAGTAATTAATTGGAGTACTTGAAGCATCCCTTCCAGCCCTGCATTCTGTAGGTGCAAATTGGGGGCTCTCTCAGGTATGAAAGTTCAATATATGTAAAATGAAACTTCCAGGATTATGAAATTGCTTCCATAAATCATCTTCAGGAGACAGGTATCATCAATTCTGTGACCTGATTTGTAATCCTGTAACTCTTGCATCTTATTCCACATACTATAGAATGAAAGGAACTGACATAACGTCTTGCAGTTTAATAATTTGTAGCTTTTTTTGGTTGTCATTCTTTAAAATGATAGGAGTATGTTGTAAATCAGGAGTCCCCAGACCCCAGGCCATGGCCCACTACTATGTGTAACTGGGCCATACAAGCTGCACCCAATGTGCATGCATGTGCAGCTTAATTTATGCAAATGGTGCGCATGCACGCCTGTAGCTCAACTTGTGCAGATCAAGCTGTACATGCATGCACGCTGGCCCATTGATCCAAGTTGAGCTGTGCACACCCCCCCCCCCCCCCCACCCCAGTCCCCCACCCCCTCCCCCCCCCCGGGCTCCAAGTCGCAAAGGTTGAGGACTACTGTTTTAAAAGGTTCATCGTGTGCCTCATTACTTTAGAATAATTTCATTATCTTCATTAAAGATGCTTCATTTACTTGTACACCATTCTAATTGTTTTTAGAACTGATCTGTGGCCCTAATGTATTCTAACACGTGAATGAAATAAATGTGAAAGTTGTTTGTTTTTTAAGTCTCCAGTTCTCGGATAAAATTCTTATTACAGCTGACAGTTTGTACAGATTCCATTCCTGTTTTGGTTGTTTGGGTTCCTGGCATGCTGATTTGTGATTTAAGATTAAAATCACATTGCCAGGGATTACCACATAACCATGACATTACCTTCTGTGGTTTACTTCCTGATGGTCTCATACAGCTTCTTGGAACCTGCTACACTTAAGATACACAGAGAAGCTATTCAAGAACTTCAACTGCTTTTTAACTATGTTCAGATGGAGACCTCTCTAGTGAGGTGCAGAGCTTAGCTGATTGGTGAACAGTGATTGATTTCCTCTTTGTTCACAGTGGCTAAGTTCTGCACCTGAAGAGAAGGCGAGATGCAAGCCGGTCCTAAAATTTCAGACCCCGATTGCTCCTGCAGCGATTGTATCATAGCAAGTATTTTCACAGAATGCAGATGATAAACAATGAAGAGGCCACCCAATCCTTGTATGCTTCTGTATTTCAAGAATGAAAAAAACCTTCATGGGAGAGAAAAATCCAGGTTTAGTTACAGCAGAGAAGTAATCAGCTACATTAAAAGAAGTTTGCTATACTTGGTTTTCTTAGCAATTACGATACTAATGTAGTGTATCAGCTCAAGAATGCCTTTCCGCCTCTGAAGCCTTTTATATTTGCCTTTAAAACGAACTTAGCATTTAAGTATCCAAGTTGCAAGTTGTAATAAACTGGACAGATTACTATTGTTTCTAATAAATCCTCTTTTTTTTTTTGTTGGTATGGGAGCTGCCCCTTGCAGCAGTTGCTGTTCCAGACTGTTGATGGACCCGTCCTCCGGTGCCTACTGAGCTGATATCAGTTCTGATTTTATATACTGGCTCAGTTCAGCAGGAACAGGAGTCGAGCCCCAAAGCAAAAACCAAAACCAAACAGAAAATCTTTTCTGAGTACACAGATGTCGCTGAACACTAATGTTTATTTCAAAGCTAGGACAGACTGATATTTTGATGGGAAGCACAAATCCTTATGTGGGCTACCCAGCCACAATCCTGTAGAAAACACAATGATTAAGTATGTGTAGGTTGCGTCAAGGAATTCTTAACTCGAGCAACAAATGTAATGAGTAATCTCTTGAACACTTTATTCTTCCAATGTTTTCCGAAAGGATAGTTGTGAACTTTCTTGTTGTTTTCTTCAAAGATATATCCTAGACACAACAACTGTGATAATTGCATAGTTAGAAGTTCCTTACAGCATTCTGGTGTGATTTTTTCCCTTCTGTTATGGAACACCACAGCCTCCTGCCTTCTCAAATTGCACAGAAGCTGACAGGAAACCTGATAGTCACAGAACATCAAGTTACCAATGCTGCAATTCTTTCCCACTGTCTGCATTCAAGAAAAATTAGAGTGGCAGAGACGCCATCTTAAGAAGTGGAGTTGTAAAGAAGTCATTCCGTTTATTAACACTTTGCATGACTGTTTTTTTTTTAAAAAAAGTATTGCTTCACTGTGATAGAATAATAAGTTTTACCACTGTTTCCCTTACAGGAAAGGCAGAGACTTTAACTATTTGTTGTTAGTCAGGAAGTCGTGTCCGACCCATCATGACCTATTTGTTACCAAATGCTGGTGGTATTAGAATTTCTTTGATTCTGGATATCAAAGGGAAAATTATGTTGCTGCTAAAATCTGCTGAAAAATGTTTTATGCAGAGTATATCTTTCTGGAAGGTGACAGAAACCAGGAAGAACAAGTCCTTCATCTCCCTCATAGTAAAATACAATTATGATTGTGAATCCAAGGCCAAAAAGACAAAAGAAATATACAAAGAGCTAAAAACACTTCAATCAAGGGAATATTATGTGCTAATTTAAATTGAACCTAATATTAAAGTGAGGGTTACTGATTTTGTTATTGTATAAGACCCTAACTCAGTCACACTATAATATAGGCATAGTGTTAAGCAATACTCGTGAAATATTGCTCTCTTGTGCCCAATGCTACCAGTTTCACTCAAAGCAATATGATGCAACCTCAATAATCTGTGAATTTTATCAGTCCCTTCTTTGTAAAACATATTTTGTAAATAAACTGATTATGTAAACATTGTGACTTGAGTTTTTATTGCTTGAGACGTATCTGTTAACTCTGTCTGTATATATACATGTGCTCAGTTTTCAATTGTCCGTGGATGTACTGAGTTAAAAATCTGCAGCCATGCCCTAGTTAGCTAAGAGGGGAGACACTCTATTAATCATGCATGTATCCAGTCAGTGTAACTCTATTTACCCCTTTTTGTCTCTCAAACCAAAGTAATGTTTCTAAATTTTAATCAGCTGAATTAAACTGCTAGCAGTCCTAGATTCAGCTCTGCAGACATCTGGAGCCTGCATGGCCTCTTACTGAGCTACAGCAATAGCTCTTACTGTAGACCTTTTGATGTATTCAAGAAAGGACCCAAACTATTCTTGAAAGAAGTTGTGCTCTATTTCACAGCCTTTTGCAAAGGATAAGGAAAAGCAGTTCATCATTTTGTTATGCCATTGTGAAAGATAACGGGCAGAGTAAGGGCATTCAGAAAGTAAAACACTACAAAGGAAACAATTATCTCATGATTTAAACTAAAGGTGATTGTTTTGTCAAATGTAGAACACTATACAACTCCATAAAAGCTCTGGATAGCATACTTTATTAACAACAAAACCATGAAGAAAAAAAGCAATCCACATCCAGAAGAAATATTTCGCTTTTGGTAAATGTCAGTTCTACATTCAAGCATTTCTCTTAAATGTGCATCCACTTCCATTCCATCACAGCTCTCCCGTTTAAAAAAGAGAGAGACCTCTGTTGACATGTTTGGCCAATTAATTGCCAATTAATCCCCTTTAATGCCAAAGACATCAGACATGCATTCAGTAGTGTTGAGTACAAAGTAACAATATTTTGATGCTCACAAGATCAATTAATGTAAGTTTAGACAAGAGAAACCGAATGCCAGTGACATCTCTTTCCTTTTGTTTCGTATTTTAATTCTGTTAGGTGTATGTTTTGTGTTCTGAATAAGAATTCAGGTTGGCTTTTGTTTGACATAAAAATAAGATTATATAACCTGCCTTCATAAAACATATGAAGAATATATAAAGTGTTAAAACAACAGATAGTCTTTAGCGCTGTTGTATATGGACCTGTTTCTGACATTAATGCATGGAAGATGAGTGATAGTGCACGTATTCTTAATCCAAATGTGGAACATATAGAACACTATAGAAATAAAATCATTATCACAGCACAATTCATACATTTTCTTCCAGTTCTTCTCATGCTGAAATAATGATTTTATTTCTATAGTGTTCTTCCTCCTAAAAAGAGCCCAAGACCCAAGGTTAATTATGGAATTCGTATCAACTCTTAGAACCATATATATATATTTTCCCAATGGCAATCTGTTCTTAATCTGGTGCTTCTAACAGATATACTCATTGCCACTGTAACTCAGTCCATCCACTCTGCTGGGTTTTTTTTTTAATCCTTTCCACCTTTCCCAATATTAGAGCCTTCTTTAGGTGTTCATGTAATGTATCCAAAGTAGGCTAATTTGAGTCTGGTCATTATTTTTCATTAGCCAATTAAAGAGAACTATGATTAATAATAAGGGAGGCTTAATGTGGAAAAGACAAACCTTTAGCTGTTTGTAAAACGATTTCTTCTCTCTATATTTTATTATTGCTTAAAACAAAATGACAGTCTAGGGAGAAATCAACTACTGAAGGATTGCTGCTTGCCAATTGAAAGTTGGTTAGGTTGCTTGTGGGTTGGCAGGATGGCAATGGGGATGCAAGACTTCAGTCACTGTTATGGTGTCTGTAGAATGCTAGCCATTAAAAGGGCCTAGTCAGTTTGAGTATACTTAAGCCCTTCAGAAAGCAGCTCAAGGGCTTTTAACACCTTTTATAGACTCAGACAGTTGGTTGAAGGAATACAGCCAGAAAAAGCAAGGGAAACTGTTCTGGCATTTGGTATTAAATGGACCACCCCTGTGCAAATTCCCAGAATCAATGTTAAGATAGCATTTAAATTGCAACTATGAACATGCCTTTAAAAAGGGGGGGAGGAACGTCAATTTTTCAAGCATTAGGCAGCTTGATAGTAAACAGCACATATGTGGTTTTGAATTAGGAGTTCCTGAGGTACCTCCTAACAGGCTGTTTTTCTAACTTCCTTTAAACTGGCAATCCAAAAATGCACCTTGAGTTCATTAGTGATCTAAGAAAGCTCTACAAGTATTGTTGCAAGAAATAGTATTTTCTAAAATGGAAGTAAAAAAAAAGCCTGTTACAATCAGTACTTTGAAATGAATGATCTCCTCTAGGCGATGATGTTGGAAAACACTACAAGTAGTCCTTGATTTACAACCACATTTGGGATTGGAACTTTGGCTGCTACGCATTGTTAAGTGAATCATGTCCAATTATACAAACTTTTTGTGTCACGGTTGTAAAACGAATCACAAATCTGGTTTCCCCTATTGACTTTGTCTGAAGCCAGCTGGGAAAGTTGTAAATGGCAATCATGTGATCCTGTGGTAAATATATGCTGGTTGCCAAGCACTTGAATGTTAATCACTTGAGCGCGGGGATACTGCCACAATCATAAGGGCAAGGACCATTCCTAAGCCTCTTTCTCCAGCGCCATTATAATTTTGAAGGATTGCAAGTTGAAGGATTAACTGTAGAATGATGTCCTTCATGCAATTCTACAAGGGTCACATTATTTATTTCCAGGAGTGGGAGGACCAGATCCTAATTTGGCAAAGATGTTACATAGTCTAAGGGGCAGAGAAATCCCTGTATTGCATACAGTAGTGTGAGAAACTAATTTTTTCTAGGTTTAAAAGGCTAGTTGGCAGAATCGAAAACATTAAGGCTTTATATAAATTAAGAGATCCAGAATATCATACTTCAGACACCAGTTACATAGTGCAGGGGGCAGAATGGCCAGATTTATATATACAGCTCAGCAATCAAATCCTGATGTAGCTCATGTTAATCATTTACTGTATTGTATCTAATGTTTGTGAATACACTTTTTCTCCTGCTTGTTTTTGGAACTCATCCCATCCCTCAAAAAACATGTTGGCATAAGAACTCCATTATTCCTATGTGGGAGGAGATTTAAATTAGAAGCCTTAAAGGAAACTTCTGAAAATTCAAATGCAGTTTCTAGGAGGTATGTTCTTCTTGTGCATTATAAAAAATGAGAGAGGTTTCCAAATAAGTCTTCTATTTATTGAGATTGAGATGAGAGTCTTAAGTTGCAAATTGGGAGACATTATGACTTTTTATCCTTGTATGTACAAACTTTTAATAGCTTGTTAGACAGTTCTGCTACGAAAGGAGGATTTTTTTAAAAAATAATAATTTTAAAATTGCACAAATCTTTCCTTGGCAGTGTTCAAAGTCTGCAGCTCAGGAAAGGTCTGTGGTCCATGTAGCCCCAGGAAAGGAAAATACATTTGCTGACTAATGCCACTTTAACAAAATATGATATTTGCTTCCTGTTGAAGAAAAACAAGTTAGAAGAAACACAAGTAGGTGTTTGGTGACTGATCTAATGGAAACATTTAGTTCAAAAAGACTCACTAATAAACTTGTTTGTAATGAGGCTGAGATGCCACTAAGTGGTATAGCAGAAATAAGCTGTTTGATCAAACTTGTAAATGATGGCCTCAATAAACATGCCACTTTTTAAACATTTTCTCATAAAGACAAAACAGCTTTACAATGCACTTTTGAGTAACTTTGAAGATACTTCTGCAAATGCAAAAAAAATATGTGAACGTCATAATATATAGATTACAAATAACAGACTTGTCTCCCAGACTCTTTCAGAAAATGCCCATTGGAAAACGGGTACTTTCTTATCTTTTTATTCCATAATTCTGAATTAGTACTAAGCACCACATCGGAATTCCTGGAGCAGATCATTTGCTAGCTTTACAGAGCACTGATATTTCACTCCAAGTTGGCTAGCTGTATTTGAGATATGGATAAGAAGTCCAGTTACTTGTGGGATTTCATCACTTTCAGCTAGAATCTGAAAGAAGTTGAAGGGGGGGGGAGGGAGAGGGATTAAAATTAAATTTTAAAAAACTAAAATTAAAAATTAAAATATTACCTCCTGGCTTAGGCAAACATTTTCCTGCTCTCTAGAATGCTAGATAGTTCACAGATATTCACAGACCAAAAGAGAAAGCATTTTTTTTAAAAAAGCTCATTCATTCAAAAAGGGACTCAAAACGGGGAAAGGGTATTAATGATTTCTCAAGCAGAAGAGTTCGTTCCTGACTAGTTTCTGCTCTGCCCAGTGAGGAGGGAACCAAAATAACTCCACAAAGAGGATATTCTGCTAAATATTTTCAAGAGCTGAACGTGCGTAAGCACAGGACTTTATTAAATTAAATCCAATGAAGATTGGACAAAACCCCCATATGACTGTTGTCCCTTTAGTCAAAACCAGTTTATTGTTTCAAATTGCTAGATTAGACTGCAATTCCCATTTCTGATCTATGACTACTATCTTGTAATCTATCTACTTACTATCTACTATCGAGTGATGGGAGGTATAGCCAATAAGTACCATGTAAAAAAATTGAGACATATAAATGACTTAATTTTTTTCAATACGGGAATTGTAATATTTTGCTATTGGGGGGGAAAAACTTACGTATTCAATCAATTCTCTGGCTATGGTGTGTCCATTAGGAGTAAATAGCACAAAGCTGATCATCAGATGCGTAACAATATGTTTAGTTGCAGAATGATTTACACTGGTTTTGCTGCTGAATAAAGTTTGTAGGTCTGCAACAGAAATGGTTGGCATCCTTGAGAGGCTTGTCAGATAGTCACACACAGTTCTAGCTTCTACCTGTTGACAATAATTGGAAGGAATAAAGTCATATTCATTTCATGAAATTTGCAGAAAAGTACAGACTGGATTCCTAGGCTGATAACAGGGGAAGTAATGGAGCGGGGAAGGAAAGGAGACCGTGGGCCAGAAGAGGAAAGACACAAAAGATTTTTTTTTAATTGTCTCTTTAGCCTTGAAAAACTAAAGCACTGCAGGCCGTGATCCAGAATTTGACCTTTTGGGGGTTGAGGGGGAGGGGTTAATAAAAGGAAGTGGCAAAATCCACAGAGCAGAATGAAGGTAGATTGTTACATTGTGGGAAAAAGAACAGACGGTTCTTTGATGGCCCACCACAATACTACAACTACAAATCAATTAAACTCCATGCAATCTGACCTCTTCTGATAAAAAATTCTGACAGGAATTCAAGCATTTGGCTTCCTCTTAGTATTGTGGTCAAAAAGTTTCCCTCCCCACCTTTTTACCTCTTCAAGCAGCCAGAACAAACAGTTTCTGGAGCCAAAATGGAAGCAAAATGTGATGGTCTGTGCATTAAAGGAAATTATTGGCCAGATATAACTTAAAATATTTACTACATAAAAGCCATGTCAGGGATAGAAAAGAAATAAAAAGCAATATGCAAATCTCCTGCCTGCCGGCCTTTATTTTAAGCAAGTGATTTCTTTATTCACTGTATTTACATATATAATATATATATTATCCTGTTTAATTGTCTTTATCTCAAAGTTATTTTTAAACACACAATCCACTCCTTTTCTATTGTCAATCACTACATAGTATTGCATGAAATGTGCCCAAAGTCAAATATTTACACATATAACATATTTATCCTTGCCACCATCTAATACAGATTCTTGATGACTCATAACATAAAAACACAATAATAACATTTGTTAAATAAAAATGACAATCAAAATAGGCAACCCCAAACTCCAAAAGGCAGCTGGTGTGAGCCCTTAACCAACCTACGAGACCCAGCTTGGTGTAGTGGTTAAGGCACTAGGCTAGAAGCTATGTGTTCTAGTCCTGTCTTAGACATGCAGGCCAGCTCAGCAACCTAGAGATTATAGTGGCTAAAATCTACACTGCCGCCCTCTGCTTTTTTGTGACTTACTTTTCTCAGGAAATAAGATTATTCAAAGGTAGCCAGAGCAAGGAAGTAGCCAGCATTGGTTTCTTGAACTTCTGAAGAATGTAACAACAGAAGCAACCTAGATTCATGGCTAGATCCACTTCAGAATTTGCATTAGTGGGCAAAATACATTTAGTTCTGGCAGCAAGACCAAGGCCATGGATCAGCCTTCTTGAATATCTGATTCTTTCCAATCAACTAGCCTTCTTAAACAGGATAGAATACAACCATGTTGCTCAGAAATAATCATGGTTAACTTAATTATAATACCAATTATTCATAGCACCAATGTTTTTAGAAACCTAGAAGAGAAAGGCTTAAATACACACATAAGTTTCAGTTTCCTGATAATGCTGGCCCACATTCTCCAAATGGGGTAAGAGAGACCAACATTAATAGACAGGATAAAAATTAACAATGATATTGAAGATGGAATATATATTCTTTATTTTCTCTATAAAATGCTATGTAGAAAACACCAAGAAGCAACTATAATAAGCAAGCAGGCAGATCATAAAAACCAGTTACAATTTATCTCGTTTCTTTCAAAGATAAATTTTCTGAGTAAATTTTCTGAAACTTAATTCTGTTAGACATTTAAATGGAATTGTTGTGGTCTTACATTAAGTAACAAAGTAGCCTTGCTATAAACCATATTATCTGAAATGCTTGATATAAAGTACTCAGATAATGTAAGTATATACAGATTTAACTTTTAGCTCAGGATAATTTCCATATCCAGTAATTTACACAGAAATTCATTTCTAAATTTAATCTTCTATAAAGTTTCTCATGTTTCATGACAGTTTCATTCTGTTAGTCTGCTCAAGGATTAAATATATTCCTTTTCTTTGTGGAAATCGCTGCAGACATTTTTTTTTTTTGGTAAACCCTTTTATCCTTAATTTCTTAGGCATCTGTGTTGCAACTATAGAAAAAGAAATGTGAGATGGAAACTATTTACTGTAAAATGTTAAGTTAGGATATGAGCAGTTACAGAAATTAAAGGTGCAAACGGAACCCTGACAATAATTTAATGAAAGGGGACTTGGGAAGTAAAGGAAGTGCCAAGTAACATTAAGAGAAGTCACAAATATTTTGTGGTGCTAACTGTTGTGCTATTTTCCACCAGTGAAAGACCACCTTAGATTCTGTTATTACTCTCTTTCGCAATTATATATTTAATAATATATTTCAATAAAGCTGTTCCCATCCAAGGAGACTTTTCTATGCATATTCTAATGTATATTAAGCATAGATGGCATAGAAGGGCAATCAAAACATAAATATTAATAACTGTTGTGTAAGCTATCCTTGAGAAAAGCACTGGAATGTTCAATTGTCATCACTACATAGATCACCTATGATCTTGCTATGCTTATAGCAACTTGACTGACTTAATTGTTCTCTGGCCTTGAGCCAATGGACCACCCAATTATCAGCTCTCTGAGAAATGTGAAAGAGATAAAACTAATCAGAATGCTTTAATAAGAATTTAGGAGAGAAAAAGAAAGAGAAATACTCTGCTTTAGACCAGTGTTTCAGTTGTATAGTAGAATGCTGGAAAAAATAGTTCTTGAGTTACATCTAGTAACTGAACAAACGTTCAGTGACAGGTCAACGTTATGATGGTGCTGAAAAAAAAACTGGTCCTCAAAGTTCTGGCCACTGTAGCCCCCCTGTGATCATATGATCAAAATGTTAGCCAACTGGCATTTACAGTGCTCTCTCCCATCGCTGCACCCAGCAGATCTTTATCATCTTCCTCACCTCTCTCCTCTGCTGGGCTTGCCAATTCTGGCTGACCTCAAGAACTATGATGCAGGGTCTCTGTCAATCATGCTGTGCACTGTACCCCCATCTCCTCCTCCAGATAACTTGCTGGGCAGGAAGCCTTTAACTGAGTAACCACCAGGAATCACTACCAGGATTTTGTTAGGCCATCTCATTCTCATTTATCCACTCCTTTAAGCCACTCTTACTTTTCATTCCTGAAGACTGTTCTAGCCTTTAAAAGAAAGCTGATGAAGGATGCTTTAGCAATGATTTCTGAGCTGTTTTTCAAGCATTGTCACAAAAATATCTGCTTTGTTTTTCGAAACATTATTACCATAGCTAGAACTGCTTACCATTATTTGAGTTCTCTGCCGATTCATGTTGTTTGGACTATAGTAAAATACCAAAAGCCACAACAAGTTAGAAGACTCTGCTTGTGACAACAGCAACTGCTTTGCTGCAAGATCAGCCCATTCTCCAAAGTGAACCAACAAAAACCAGCTGTTGAAGAGTTCGTCCAAAGACCTGGAATAACATCAAAATGTGTATTAGCCTCTCTATTTACAGTACAGTGGTACCTTGGTAAAAGGTAAAGGTAAAGGTTCCCTTTGCACATATGTGCTAGTTGTTCCCGACTCTAGGGAGCGGTGCTCATCTCTGTTTCAAAGCCGAAGAGCCAGCGCTGTCCGAAGACGTCTCTGTGGTCATGTGGCCGGCATGAGTAAACGGCAAAGGCGCATGGAACGCTGTTACCTTCCCACCAAAGATGGTCCCTATTTTTCTATTTGTATTTTTTTACATGCTTTCGAACTGCTAGGTTGGCAGAAGCTGGGACAAGTAACTGGAGCTCACCCCATTACACGGCACTAGGGATTCGAACCGCTGAACTGCCAACCTTTCAATCGACAAGCTCAGCGTCTTAGCCACTGAGCCACTGCGTCCTTTCAGTACCTTGGTATTCATTGTTAATTGGTTCCAGGAGCTGCGATGAATACCAAAAACAATGAGTACCAAACATTTTTCCCCATAAGGAATAATGTAGTGAGTCATAAGAGAGCTGACACCGATAAATTCTAGCTAGTGTGCTGAGTTCCAAACAAACTATGAGTACTGTAACAAAATTTTTGTGTCAAAATGGGCTGAGTATCAAATTCGATGACTTTCAAAGCAGATGAGTACCAAGGTACCAATGTATTTTAATATGACTTAAGTTCTCAGAAGGCTCTAAACTGAAAGTATTAAGACTAGCAAAGTTTTTTATTTGAAGATCAATGGGAATAGTAATATGCAATAGAGCTAATTTTACACTAATGAAAATAATGCATTGAAAATAATAGTTTGGTTCCCATACATGGTAGCAAATTACAAAAACGATCGCTCACAAGCTAAGACAATCTTTAAAAAAGAAAGTAACCCTGTTGCTTACTCAGAGCCCTTGGCCTCTACTGTCGTTTTGAGAATTTCAGCAAGGTGGTCTAAATGCTGATATACACTATTACCGGGAAAATCTAAAAAGAAACATGAACACCAGTATTAGGCATATTTTGATGGAAATATGGAAGAGAAATATAAGCACAACAAAATTGTTTGCTTACTCAGCTCATATTAACTCAGTATTAATGAAAAAAATGGAAGTCAGCTTACCTGAAGGAAGTTTAAGGAGAGTCATCACAAGTGAGTGTGGATTATGAGGAAAATAGGCCTTCAGTGGAAATTTATGCTGAAATGAAATTATTTTTTTTAAAAAAATTCTAGTTATCTTATGGATCTAAACCAATTTATGACAATTTTTAAAATTTGCCATAAGAGAAGATATGCATCTAAAGCACAAAAACTGCTTTCTGTACTTAAGGAAACCAACATTCCTGCATTAAGATTATTGCAATGCCATATATACCACAACTCCGCAATGAACTTTCAATTACATTTTGAATTTCTGACCATTGCAGTACCCCTGTGATCATGTGATTAAAATGCTGGCCAACCTGCATTTATGATGCTCTCTTACAATATGAATACTCAACATGTCATGAACATTTTGGGTGACACATCCGTGCTCACAAACACCTGATAACAACTATTCTCAAAAGCATGCCTGATTTCATGTGATTTTTGGAGGCCATGTGAGAATGTGTTATGCTATTGTGCAGCGTACAGAGCCTCAAAAAATCATAAGAAAATGAGGACTGCTTTTGCATGCTTTTCTGAGGCTACAGAGGCCTTGGAAGAGCATTCCCAGAAGCCGTTTTAAGAATGAAGTCCTAAAATAGGGGCTGTCAACAGAAAGAGAACACCGCCTTGGACACGCATCATAGTTTTGCCATCACTAGGTCAGTCTGTTCATGACTAAAGCATAAATAAATAAAAATCCAGAAAGCATTCCTGTCTGCCTGCATACCATACCAATCCCAGATTTTTCCCTTAAATTGTAACAGTAAAAGTAAAAAATTACGTAACTAAAATGCCAAAACATATTAAATTATTAATATTGAACATATTAAAAAAAGCTTAACAATGAAGCACATAGATAACAAAGTGATTAACACAATTGGCTTCTGGCTATTTAAAGGGTGTGGAATTAAGTTTAAATTCTCCACCCAGCCACCCCGTTCATGCCAAGGCAGCAAAATTTGCTGCTGCCATATAAGCAAACTTAATGGGTGTGGCACCTATACATATTAACTTAGACAGCTGCAATTTTACTCCTAATTCATACCCTTTGGAACTCAGAAAAATATTTAATTACAATGCTAATTAGAATTAATTACTGCATCATTTGCAAGATGAATAACCACTGATCAATAGTGCTCTCTCACAACATAGAAAAAACCACTGGAGCATCTATTAAAAGAAATTTTTGAGCAGAGGAAATCTTGAAGTATTTGTGTGGCCCAAACTTAAATTTTCACAGCTACTTTAACTGACTAAAGCAAAAAAGGAGAAATTGCCAATTATAGAGAGTAATACAAACCAAAGGACAGTTTTATGTCAAATGAGGTTAGTTATAAATCAATGAGGTGATTTAATTGTTCATTATGTAAATCCAAGGAACAAAAAGTTCATCTGAATGCAAAAACATTTAACATCTTACTTCATATTAAAACAGATAGCTGTATTTTATCCTAGATAATGGACCAGTAAGATTCTCTAATCTATAAGTTATAAAGATACATCTAAAGTTTCCACACCATGCTCAATTACATCTGCACTGAAATATGTAGTGAATGTTGATGTTACCTAAGTAACATGTAGATTGAGAGATATTTATTGGCTTTGTGTCTAATTTAAATTTGATATCATTTAAAATTCTGAAATGGATGTTACCAACCACTTACTGCAGTCTAAAGGTATTATTTGGGTTGTTATACTTGTCCACCAATTTGAACTTCAAAATGATTCTCTTGCCCTAAATTTTGAAGCATTTCTTTTTTAAAAATAATGAAAAAGCAACTTGACTAACCTGCTTATTATTCTCATGGTAAGCTTGAACAAAGCACTGTGTAAACACCTGCATTACAGTCATTATTTCTTGAGCTCCATCAGTTTCCAGCAGTGCATTCCTAAACAGTGAAAAGTTTAATTACGACAGGTCAGATTATGAGTGTGCCAATCACAGTCGTTAATTGAGAGAAGGAGGCAAAAAAATACCCAAACAAGAACATTCTTCCCATGCCTCAACCTTTGGGCTTAACTCATCTAGCTTTTAGACCGCTTGGGAAGTGAAGAAAACCCCAACTTCGCTTTGCTTGCCCTTGAATATTAAATATTAAAACTCTATCTATTACTGCTGTTAGAAGAAATCCTTCTGATGATGTTGGAACATTGTTTTTCAACTGCAAACTATATGATCTACTATATCTACTATGATAGAAGTACACAGTTAAGTTTCTTAGTTACAAAATCTCACACTAGAGTATGTCTGTAAAATTAAACAAATGGTGAAAATGGCAATAGAAAACATTCCTGTCCATTCCGTTACAATATTCTTTCATTTCCCTTAATCCCTGATATTTTAGATATACTGCTGACTTTGGAAGCTGGAAGTGTAATTAATTTAATGAGTCAATAAGTATGTTTTTGCTGTGCGGCTCCACAAATCCCCATCAGCAATTTCATATAGAAACGATGAAAGTCTTGGATAAACTCTGTTTACCAGTCTCACTAATTTACCAGTCTTTCCGATTCTGTAACTATGAATGCTTGGGAAAGGAAAAGGAGTGGTTCTAGTGGAAGTTAACCATTAAGTAAATATAACAGAGGGAGGGGGGGAAGAATAGAAATTTTCATGTTTTCTAAACAAGAGTTGCAATTTCTAATGCTCAATTCCCAAACATGGCTGCTATCAACATTCTATATAGTATACTTTTTACTCAGAATGTGATCTGTTTCTAATCCACTCATTCAGGGTTTAAGAGTCTAATGATCAATAAGAGGTGCCTTAACCATTTAAAATAAATTAATTGCAACAGAAGAGCATTCCATCAAAATAATCTAGGGAATGGGATTATGCAAGTCTCTGCTAATAAATCAGCTCTCTTTAGCTGTATACTTTATCTAATTTCCATAGAAAGATAAATAACTAAAAGCAATTTTTCTTTGCACTACAGAGTTAGCCATTTGTTTCAGATACTTATTATTTTAATTATAAGTAATATAAATTCACCTTTGCATACAATTTGGTTCCCACTAAAATCAGAAAGACATCAATGCAATTTTCTCTGAAATATTGTGAAATCGTCTGTCACTCCCTTTTTGGGGGATTATTTTTAAAATAATCCAGTCTAATCTTTGACTCTTAGTTTTCCATCTAAGTCCTATTAGGTCAGATCCTGCTTGCTTTCCAAATGAAATAAAACTACCCTGGTGCAATTAAATTGTTTACATTGTATTTTTATGTAAGTAATTGCAGAATATAAGATTAAGTCCAGGGGTGAAATGCTACTGGTTCAGGAGAACTGGTAGCGGACATGTGGCATGGTTTGCCAAATTGGTAGCGACTGCTGGTTGGCCACACCTCCGAACCGGTCCCCCAGTCACCTCTCGCTTACCCCACCCCGCTTCTGCAAATGCAGAGCCCCCATGCAGGGCAATCAAAATAGGGGAGCGGGATGCTGCAGAAAAGGCTGCCTTGCACCCGTGTCAGCTCCATGGGGCTTGGGGCTCCGAAGCAACTCACTGGATTCTCACACAGCCACCTGCCTACTGGCAGGTGGGAACTCGGCCTGCAGAGTCCGGGGCTCTGGGAGAAGGATGCTCAGCCGTGGCGCCGCTTCCCAGCGGCGAAGAAGCTGAGTGAGAAGGGCAGAAATTGGCAGTGGTCGGCAGGGCAGCAGCCCCGTGTATGGGGAGAGGGCATGTGCAGCAGCCCTGGGATGTCCGTGGCCTGCCTGACCTTCCGGAGTGCCGCCTCCGCTTTATTCCTTCTCCCGCCACAAAATGAAAGCGAACGGCAGCAGGGTTGCTTCGGGCAGGCAGACGTCTGTAGCCAGGAGGGGAGAAAGGGCGGGGAAAGTGGCGATGACGGCCCTTTCCATGCGCAGCGCAGAGGCAGCAGACAAGGGAGCGCCAAGATGAAGGGCTACCTGCGCTGGCCCACCTGGGTAAGCGCTGTGGGCTTTGCAGTGGTGCAGCCGGGCCTGGCCCTCTCCCCGCATGGGGGGCTGTCGCCTCACCGGCTGCTTCCGCCCCTCTCACTCTGCTTCGCCGCTGGGAAGCGCCGCCACGGCTGAGCCTCCTTCCCCCAGAGCATCAGACTCTGCGGGCCGAATTCCTGGAGTGGCGCTGGCAGGCAGGGTGGGAATCCAGTGGGCTGCTTCGGAGCCCCAAGCCCCATGGAGCCAGCACGGGAGGCAGGGGGGAAGGTGTACTTTTCTGCAGCATCCCCCTCCCCTCTTTGGATCGCTCTGCGGAGGGGGGGGGCTCTGCCTTTGCAGAAATGGGTGGGAGGTTTGTACAGAGGATTGGTGGGGGGAATGTGCGGCCCTCCAGGATGGAGAACGGGGCAGGAGAAGGCTCTGAGGTTCGCTTGGGCACTCAAGCCAGATGGCGGAGGTAAACTCAAAGCGTTGGGGCCTTCAGAAGGGCAGAATGTGCTTCAGAATCTGCAGCTCCTGGTTCTAACAGTGGTGACGTCAAGTTGGCCACCCGGTCACATGACACACTCCCCCCCAGGCACACCCACACCAAGTCACACCCACAGAACCGGTAGCAAAAAAATTTAGATTTCACCACTGATTAAGTCAATGCCAAAATCTATGTTATAAAAGAATCTGAAGCAGTTTTGTGAAAAAGAATCATTGCAAAAATTCATCAAAAAGGTTGAGGCCATCATGTAGAAAGTAACGGCTTCAGGTTAAGATATATTAAAGATATCTATATCTATATGCCTATACATACACACATATATACAAATCTTGACATGTAATAATTCATTCTATTAAATATGTATCTATCATATTCAAACAATTGTATATGACCTAATCATTTTAAATAGTTCTTCCTCCCACTTAAATTACATGCAAACTTACTTGAAAATTTCATCAATAGTTCTGAAGACAGCTGGATGCCATGCAGCTCGATTCTGCAAAAAAAAAAATTGAGCAATTTAGAATCTTGTAGGGAAAAAAAGTAATGTTTTCAACGAGAAGAAAAATGAATTGTCATCAGGTTAGTTTAGCCTTATTACCAAAAAGTATTTTTCTCCCAAATAGTGACTTTAAATGGCAAATGAAGCTGGCAGTAATAATAATCAAATATAATATTTTATTAAGTACATACATAAAAAATGAGTAATGTGTTTATCATGTGTTCAAAATGTTTATTTTATTATGAACTATGCTCCAATTGAATAAGACATTCAAGGATGTTAGTGTTTTGTGTTCCACTAGAGCAGAATTCAATGCCAAGTTCATAGAAAAAAGTGAGAAATTGGAACAAACCATTTCGTCCTTTTTTAAAAAAAAAATGTTAGGGCTATAAGCCTAAATGGGACAGTAATCCATGCAGAGACCTGCCATCCAAGCTATAGAACAAATATTGAGAGGGAGAGGTGGGTGCCTGTCTATCACTTGCCATAATAAAACAATTATTTACAACAAGGGAGCTATGATTTTTTTAAAAGAAAAATTATCTACACGTAATTCTTGGCTTACGAAGGAAATTGAGACAGAATTTCTAAGTGGTGTGGTTGTAAAGCACGATGTCATGTAACTGTTGTTTAGTGGTAACAGTTCAGGCAGTCCCAGGTGCCATTGTTAAGCAAGAGTATAATGTTAATGGATATACAAAGAAAGTAGTTTTGCTCAGGTGTTTTTCTAAAAAAGTAGATAAAATGGATGAAAGTTAATCATGATGTGGTGTTAAAATCCCTAATCATCATGTTCAGCAACAATGCCCAAAGAAAGTTTCTAAGTGCATTCAAATAAATTTATGGAAAAGTACCTTTTGAACTACTTTGTTTAAAGGATTTAAAGGGTTGAGAGGATATATACGGAGACATGGGATGCAGAGACTGCACACATGAGCAGCTCTATTCTGTTCAGCTAGAGACTAAACAAGATTTTGCAAAGTTGAACTTAAGATAAGCCCCTCACACATATGTGCTAATTGTTCCCGACTCTAGGGGGCGGTGCTCATCTCCTTTTTAAAGCTGAAGAGCCAGCGCTGTCCAAAGACGTCTCCATGGTCATGTGGCCAGTATGACTAAATGCCGAAGGCGTATGGAATGCTGTTACCTTCCCACCAAAGGTGGTCCCTATTTTTCTACTTGCATTTTTTACATGGTTTTGAACTGCTAGGTTGGCGGAAGCTGGGACAAGTAACGGGAGCTCACCCTGTTATGCGGCACTAGGGATTTGAACCGCTGACCTTTCGATCAACAAGCTCAGTGTCTTAGCCACTGAGCCACTCATCCCTATTGCCTTGTTAGGAAGGCTAAACAAAATTAGCAAGTGGTCTAAGATCACTTTTTGAGGAGCAAGCTTCATTAGATGTATTCTGCCCCAGCAATTTTCATTTTCTATTCTTTTAGAAGAGACTAGTTTTAAATGCAGATTATGAAACCAATATCACTGTTTTCTAAAACATTATTAGTTCCTCCTATTTGATGAGTACCTGATCCCAGGTTTTCTTATCTTAATTACAGCATTTTATTTACTATAAAAATGGGATTCCTGCTTTAATTTTTTTTGTACTCTGAATTACTTTTTAGGATGGGAATGCCATATTTACATGTATGAGATTCCATTGCTCCATATCATTTTCTTCCTTTCTTGACAGCATTACCAATTATCTAATTGCTATCTTGTGTCTCACAGCACAATCTAAGGCTGAATACAGCCAAACTAAATTTATCACATATCCTGTAAAATCTTTTTCTAGTATTCACATTACAAGAATTTTTTTACGATTTCCTCACTTAATAACATTGAGTTGACTCTCATTGGTTTTATTATGTTATATTTTTGAAGAAAAAGTTTGTTATTATTTTTACTTCGGTATAAAAAAAATCCCTTTTGAACTTGTGGAAACTGTAACTAAGCTAAAACTAAAAGTGGGAAAGCATGAAGACCCAGAAGAAAGGGAGACAGAAACCCCAACTTTGCAAGTAAAATCCTGATTTGTCTGCTTCCTTATAATTTTATTATCCCTATTTTTCTCCTAAAATAGAGTGCACTGAAATTCCTCCCTTTCCTGACAAAGCACTTCACTTCCTTTCAAGTGAAAGGAAGTGGGAAAGGATAAAACGTGCAGAATAGAGTAATTTATTCCTTCATCCATACAAGAGGAGGATGATTTTCTCTTTTTACACAAAGAAGAATATATTTAACTTAATTATGGCTGCCAAATGTCAACATGAAGATAGTGATATTTACAACATACAATTCACCTGCTGGGTGCTGCTAATATTTAGTTTCTTGTAAGGATTTTATTAAAAACAATTCTTCTAAAATATTAGAGTTTTAAGATAATGTTTTAGATGTAGGATAAAAACTTTTCATGTTTCTCTAGAAAATACTTCCAGCATGAATAATAGATAAAACTATAGGTTTCCTGGATATATTTATCACATTGTAATGCATTCAATACACAGAAAAATATTCTTATTATAAAAAAATTGGTTCATTTTTTCTTAAATGCCACCATCATAATGGAAGGATTAGATGTCACCTTTTTCTATATCTTTAATTTTCTGCCATACTGTTTTATTTCTCATATTAAACTTGTGCCACCTAGTGTTCATAGGAATTCACAACTATTTTTCTCATATTTGTTTGTACAACTTTTCTCATATTTGTATGTACATTTCAAATTTTTTATCATTTCAAAGAGGATAGATGGATATATTTAGTCAAAAAAGTATTCATTCTACAAATTGCTCTGTTATACATATATGTAAAAAGGAGAAGGCAGATGATTTGATTTTCAGATCATCAAGGATAAGTATTTTTAAAATAGAATATACAATTTTATTTACCACAGTCTTCAAGGCTTTCCTAACAGTGCTAATTGTCCTCCTTTTTAATGTTTTGTTGCAAAAAGAGTAGTTTTCTTAAAAAAAATAAAAGAATGCTGGAATTCAACACAATCAGTAAAAAAAAAACCAAGTAATTGCAGCACAAAAAGAAATGGCAATTCAAATCCTGTTTAGATACGAAGGTCACTGGACATTTTAAAATACATTACTGTTTCTGGAAACAAGCTACTTAATTGTTCCTGTGTAATTAAAACATTGTTCTGAGTGTCTGAGCAAAACCAAACTTAGTAATTTAATAATTATATGGAAGCTGTCTTTGAATAATTTTACAATTTATGTGCTCTGCAAATATATGCTTTAGAACTTGAATCTAGTAATTCTATATGTGACTAACTGAAGTTTTCTCATGCAGTTTTGGCATTTTATAACATTCCTTTAAAAGAACTTAAGCCTTGCTGCCATTTAGGCTCTAACAAAAAAAGACTAAAGACTTTGGCTAAGAATATTATCCTGAATGTTTATAGGCTAAACTGAAAGCAGAAAATTGTTTTAGCAATATAGAATGAATTAGTGTACTATAGTTCAAAAGCAGCCAAAATCTAACTGTATTTAAAGTGACTTAAGCCCGTTAAAATCTGAGAGGTTTTGTTTTATTTGTTTTTGACAGTCTCCAATCTTATTTGTATTCCACCAACTTTGACTGATTTCAGAAGTTGAAGAGGGCTGGCCTTCCTTTTATTTAGATACAGGACCACCTGGGAAAATCTGAGTTGCTAGCTAGAATGAGAAGTAAAAAATAATAGTGGGAAAATGGCAACTTTTTAATAATATCAAGACAATTGCAATGATGTAGTCACCAGGAGTCAACTAAACAGCACCTTTACTTCTTATGTACTATACGTACAAGCAGATAGCCACGAGAAATGCTCGTGATAATCTGGGATATAATTAGCTAGCAAATATACTGTAGGATTTTGTTTCCATCTCCAAATATCTTTTGTGAAGACATAACGGCATTACGTCCAATCAATTCTATTCCAGAAACAAGAATTGGGAGGGAAAGAATGGCCAAATTTATTGACTAGCCAAAAGTGGCAAATGTTTCAGTAAATAACTCTGAACTTTGAATAGCATAACTATTGCCACTGAAGTAATTGTAGTACAAGTAACACTTGATTTACAAGTTCATTTAGTAAACATTCAAAAATGTTCAGCACTGAAAAAAAGTGACTTATGATTGGATTTCAAACTTACATCCGCTGGAAAATTCCCATGGTCACGTGATCAGAATTTGGCAACTGACTCATATTTATGACGTCCCAGGGTCTTGTGATCAACTTTTGCAACTTTTTGACAAGCAAAGTCAATGGGGAAACCAGATTCACTTAACAACTGTGTCACTAACTTAACTGCAGTGATTCATTTAACAACCGTGGCAAGAAAGGTCGTAAAATGGGGCAAAATTCACTTAACAACTGTCTCACTTAGCAACAGAAATTTTGGGGTTAATAGTGATTGTAAGTCGAGGACTACCTGTATCTACCTAATAAATATGCCTTTAAAATTCCAGGACCTTTTGGAAATATGGCAGCTCTAAAGGTTTTCTTCAGCACTAAGGTGGAGAGTGGTAACTGTGAAAGAGATCTTGAGAATCCTAACTGGCAATATTTAAATATGAGTCAGCAGTGTGCTACAGCTGCCAAAGAAAAGCCAACACAGTCCTAGGCTACATTAACAGAGAGATAGAATCAAGATCATGTGAAGTGTTAATACCACTTTATAATGCCGTGGAAAGACCACACCTGGAATACTGCATCCAGTTTTGGTTACCACGATATAGAAAAGATGTTGAGATTCTAGAAAGAGTGCAAAAAAACAACAAAGATGATTTGGGGCTGGAAGCTAAAACATATGAAGAACCGTTGCAGGAATTGGGTATGTCTGGTTTAATGAAAAGAAGGACCAGGGGTAACATGATAGCAGTGTTCCAATATCTCAGGGGCTTCCACAAAGAAGAGGGGTCAACCTATTCTGCAAAGCACTTGAAGACAGGACAAGAAGCAATGGATGGAAACCAATCAAGGAAGGAACCAAATTAGAACCAAAGAGAAATTTCCTGATAGTTTGAACAATGAATCAATGGAACAATTTGCCTCCAGAAGTTGTGGGTTTTTAAGAAGAAGTTGGACAACCATTTGTCTGAAGTGGTATAGGGTTTCTGCTTGAGCAGGGAGTTGGACTAGAAGACCTCCAAAGTCCCTTCCAACTCTGTTATTCTATTTTGTTATTCTGGTACCAGGAAAGATTTCTTCCTAATCCTTTATTACAGCTACTGCTTCATCTCTAATTGACTAATCATTCACTAATTGATTCCCAATAATAACATTAGTAAATAATTACAAAGATGGTACAATTCATATTTGTCACAGGTTTTCTCTCAAGTTGCAATTTCTTAATCTAATTTTTCTCAGTTTTAGGGAACAGGAAATAACGGTATTTGGTGAACCCAGACATTGCCCTTTTGTACTTAAAAGATAGAAATTAACTTGGAAATCAAGCTAAAAGCTAACTCAGTAGTTATTATCAGCATGTGTGGGCCTGGGGTATTTTAAATTCAGCCAAATTATTTAATTCATTTTTATTCTATTTTAAATTTTTGTATTTATGTGTTTTATCCTGTGGCTGTTCACCGCCCTGAGTCCTTCGGGAGTAGGGCGGTATAGAAATTTAAATAAATAAATAAAAGATAAATAAATAAATAAATTGTTGGCAATATGTTCACACAATGCAAAGTGAATAAACCACTGTTTTAGGTGTCCACTGTCATTCATTTGAAATATATAGTGTGACCAACTCCCCACAGGAAAATTAATATTTAGAGGTTAGTTGTTCTATATCCAATATATGTGACACTTACAATTAGTTTTTGCAGTTTTGGTAACTAGAGAATTTTCATTATCAGTTTCACTCTTTCCAAAAGGATGGAAACATAAGAGCAGCACACAGTATAAGCCAGAAGTTACTAGACCATCACACTTTAATTATGTTTAGAACCCTAATTTAAAAGTGTTGTGTATTATATTTCTTCCATAATAAAACCTAGCAATGTTTCACTATCAAGAATAGATTTGAAAAGTTGTTGCTTTGAAATACTATTTAATGTGGCATCTTGCAAAACGATAAGGAATAACATTTGCTATATCACTTAGGCAACTTAATGAAAATACATTCTAAAACATTTATATAGTATCAATTATAATCATGTTTTCATATTAAATCATTTTAATTTCAATTATAAGCTTTGTTCTTTGTGTTTTTTGTTTTGTTATTTGTTAAAATGATGAAATACAAAAGGAAGGAAAACACATTAAATAGTGATCAAACAGTGAAAAGCAAATCCTAACTATGTGTTTAAATTATGTGTAATTTAAAAAGTTAAAAGTTATAAGCTTCCAGCTAATTAACAAGAATACATTACATGTACAAATATCTATATAAAATTATTTCAACTGTTATTTATCATTAAATCTGGACCATATAGCAACATATGTCATCTTCTCATTTTAAAATACAAAAACTTTTCAAAATCATTATTTACTATTCTGTCTTTCTGGACATGTTTACAATTTATCACATTCATACTGCTTTAGTTATACAATTTAATTTTATTTTAAAAGGTGTCCTTCTCCCCTATAGACTGCCCTCCCACCAGATATAAGAGATAAATCCTGACATTTAATATTTAGATATTTTTATAAGCATCATTCTTCAAATATGCATTTAGGGACTAAGGCAGAATGGGAGAACTATCTGAGTTTAGGATAATCTAATTGCTTTGATGTTATAAGGCTCTTTGTTTATAAAGCTATTTGCACTGAGCAACACAAAGAATTATGCTCTTTCTCCCAAGGAAGTTTTATGATTGGCTTAGCACATATGGTACATTTTGAGCACTCAGGTAGAAGAGTGTTTGGCAATTTAACTGTTTATTATACTATTAGCAAGAATAATTTTGGTAAGAGAAAAACCATGATGGGAAAGAAGGGGGAGAGCAATTTCTTGAGAAAGTATAAGAGATTCCTTACTTCCAATTCACTACTCCCCTTTCCATGTTTTCCTTTAATTGAATGAACTGGATTTTGGTGTCTGCCTCTCAAAATCTACTAAATTCCAGAATTAGCCAATCAGAGTTTGAGTTTTCCTTTCTTTGTTAAAGTTTATTCTAAGATTTACTTACCATATGATATTGGGTTCTTAAGAATTGAAATAAGATGCAATTGAGAATTGTAGCCTGACATCTTTACCAATAATAACTGCATCCCCAGATTAAAATTGCCACAATGTTCAATACATAGCTCACTGGAGTTTATGTAAATTGGTCAACAAAACTAAAGAGGAGATGCAAATTTCTGGATGGTTTGCACCTAAAGATAAGAGTTTGTGAATCTGTGAAATACTTCAGTGCCTTTTGAACATGAAGAAATTAAAGTTATAATAATGGGGACAGCAACATTGACTTGAGAGGTGGTAGGTGCTCTAGAGCCCACGTGTTGAGTTTTCAATACTTGCAGCAGACTATACTCACCAATAAAGAATCTTTTATCACACATGCCATCTCTTGCATTGACCTTGTTTGACTGGATATTAATTGTTCAATATTTTGTAGTATTGCCTTCTCCAGACTAGGAAGGTGACGAAGCCATAATTGCAGAACAGCAGTTTCAGATAATGAGATATTTTTCCTGTATTAAAAAAGGAGTCGAGATTTCTGTATATATTTCACTAACATGTTGTGCAATTCTTGCCTTTCTTCCTATTTTTATTATCTCTGTGTCCAAAGAGAAATGTTCTTTTAGTGTCTTTTGCTACAAGTGATATTTTTGAATTACATTCCAAATTGGGAGGAATGATATGGTGCTTTTGAATACAATTTATACAGCCACTGGACTTCACATCATCCTATTTAAAATATCAATCTTTAAGAAAACAATGGCATAGTTTGCTTCTCAGCATTTCAAAACAAAGATGAAATCCATATCAAAGAGCTAAGTAATTAATACAATGGAAACTTTGCTTGGTAAGAAAATCAAAGTATGGCCAGAAACAAGTCCTCTGCATTTTTTTCTTACTATGGAACAAAAGATGTTATCAATGGTCTGAAAGCTATCCATTCTTTCTCCAGAATTAACATACTATTAAAACTCGAGTAACTACTGAAAACTCCTGGTTTTTTTCTCCATGAACTTTCCCTGATCATTAGTCAGCAAAGTTTCCTTTGTTTTCTGTTCCTCTATCATTACTATTAGGTACAGTTTATTTCTACATATTTAGGGATTTCCCCCAATTTAGCATGGTATCTCACTGGCTCAAGGTTGACTCACTTTCCATCCTTCCGAGGTCGATAAAATGAGTACCAAGATTATTGGGGGCAATATGCTGACTCTGTAAATCGCTTAGAGTGGACTGTAAAGCACTGTGAAGCGGTATAGCAATAGCATATACGATCTACTGTGTGCATGCTACACTTTTGCAAAAGATACATACATACATACATACATATACATATCCTTTTCATCTAGCACATCCCCCATTAACCAAAGAGATAAGCTGTGGAAGAGAAACAGCAGGAGGAACTAATCATTTTAGAGCAGTAGTAAATAATCAGGGAGTTCTCCAAATATATTTGATAATTACTTCCATCATCCCCAGGCAGTGGAGCCACTGATCATGGTGGCTGGTGATAATGCTACGTTTAGTTTAACATCCTGGAATATCCTAGATTGAAGACAACTTCCCTAAAAACTTACTTTTTTCAATTAGCTGGGCTGGCCTGATTCCATGTTGGTTTTAAAGTTTGATACTGATTTTTAATTGAAATGTATTAAATTATGGGCCAAATTTCATTTAATTATTTTTAAAATTATTTTAACTTTTGTGTACAAATGTTTTTATTTTGGCTGTTCACCGCCCTGAGTCTGCAAGAAGGGCGGTATACAAATCTAATAAAAGATAAAGATAAAGATAAAATATGAGTGTGCAAAACAATAACTCTATTTAACTCTGAACAAAATCTAAAATAAAATGTGAATTTGCTACTGTATTGTATTATGATGTAGAGATTTCTACTCTTTCCTAGAAAAAGAAAATACATGCAGCATGTTATTATAAGTGGCCAAAAGGCACATCTCTACTGAATATATGGATAAGACTAATATTTTGTGTAAGGCTGACATCTTTCAAAAGTATCATCTAAATCATCATTACAAAAAACATCACAGCAGTGGCAAACAAGTTATTTTACAAATAAAACACATTTTGTAAATTTCTCAATTTACAAAATGATTTCTCAATTTACAAAATGAAATCCATCTGTAGAAACAGATTTCCAACATTTGCATCTATTATGCAGAACACAGAAAAGTTCATCAAATGAGGGAATAATCAAATAATTTATGAAAAAACTAAGCAAAATCCATGTCTGAGAACTTGTCCTAAACTATTAATAGATCACAATAGATTCTTAGTCCAGCACAGATATATAAAATTAATTTTCAACAGACAGGGTTATTGAATTAGCATTCCTGTTACCAGCCAAGAAAATCTTCTTATTTTGGACTCTACTTACCGTAGTATAGCCTCATTCACTGCTTCTAAAAACTGAGAGTGAAGCACTTCTTGTGGTCCATGATCATGATAGTTAAGGAGAGCTTCAAGAAGTGGTTTTATATCAGGCAGAGTTATAAGAGGTACGCAGAGAAGAGACATGGAGGTTACTCGACAAGAGATGCTGTAGAAACAAAATTATACCTCTTACAAAGATGAAGAACTGCCCAGTCACTAGGAGTTTGGGCAGTATATAAACATATTTTTTAAAAAATATTTAAATTGTTCATTAAATACAGATTGTCAAGAAGTTCTATTTACAAAGTGGCAAACTTATAGCACATAACAAGTCCCTATGTACTAAGTTCTTCACAAGGCTGCCAGATTTTGTGTGCAGTATGCAAAATCAAGTAGATTAACTAAGAGCAAATGAACGTGCCTGAGCATAGAGAGCCAATTTTGGCTCAGGCTCAGCATTAACCATTGGTTACTTTTTAACTTTTTTTTTTATACTTTGGTGTATACATGCCATGTCAGCTCCTGTATTATATTCTCAGGTTTGACAAGGGTCTGTAGGAGAAATTTATAATCCTGAAATCCCTTTTGGATAATTTTATAATTTTATCTATTTTTGTATTTGAACTTAATTTTGTTAAAGTTTATATTGCTAGGATTGCTCATTTTAATTTATTTTCTCATTTATCTTACATGCGTAGCCTGAGCAAGCACCCTAGCATTTTTACGATTTAATACTGTCTTTTAGACAAAATGCTTTGTTTGTATACATCTTTCCTATTTAGCTTGATAGTGTTAATTTACCAATTCACTTAGGCTGGTTCATGATTGCAATAAGCCTATCTAGTAGTGAGCTCTAAACTTCAATCTTTTCCTGCTAGTAGAAGGCTGACCTAACTAGAAACATTCATAATAAGGAAAAATAAGGATTTTAGTCCAATGTATCTGGAGGCATTATGTCAGGATGTTTCTATATGGCAAACATGGCAAGCCTAAGTCTCCAAGTCTCCCACCCCGCAAACCACTTTTGATCAGTTGCTGAAAACTGCCATTTTGAGCTGGGGAAACACTCAACATTGTTTAATATTAATATTATTTTAAAAATAAGTCTTTTAACACTAGTATCTGTGAAGAGGAAGGGAGAGTTAGGAAGAGGAAGAAGCAGTCAGTGCTTATTGAAAAGGGCTAGGGCTTCAACCAATGGATTGTAGCCACCATCTTGATTATTTTTACTCCCATGGATGCCTTTGCTGTCAAAAAACTATTGAAATTCTCCAAAAATTGCTGGCCATATGTACTATAGCGCTAAAAATATTAAGTATGGGTCCTGACATGCCACATAGGCAATACTACAGTAAAAAACAACAACAACAACAAGGTAGACAATCCATCTGAAACCAGGAGATAAAGAAAAGTCCAAATGACAAAGCTGTATCTGCCTTTTCAATGGTAAAACTGGCAAAAAATAAAACACCTAGGACCACAAAGCAGTTTGAAGACTTTCTTTGAGCTCTGTTTTTACATTATTTGTAACAGATCATTTCTATAAATAATGTGTTCCTCAATCAAACGATGCTTATGGATAGTTTGGAATATGTCCATGCAATGTTAATAAGTTTCAGTCTTAAGTATCTTTCCCTAGAGCTTTATTCACACTAGTTACTTAGTTCTACTAATATTAATACCTACTTTTGTTGACTGTTAAATCCATTAACCTGGGTTCTGCTGAGTTCCGTCACTAACGATGAGACTATCTGTTAAATAAAGCATGTAATTATCAACTTAAAATAATATAGAAAATCATCCAGTAATCAGTGATATTTTCTTCCTGTTGAATTTGCACTTCCAGGTAAATGAACGATGTATTTGTTGAGACCTATGGACTGAAAGATGTGAAAGTAATTTCTCCAAATTTATTTTATATCAATGAAACAATTCAAAATATGCAAGCTTCCATAAATTTAATCCAATTAAAATAAACCAATGGTTAGGAACAAAGTTTGATTGAAAAGGCAGACTGAAATATTCCAAGTGTTTAAACATACTTTACTTACTGTTACGGTAACTAGAGAAAAATAGTTTTTATTTATTGTTTATTTATTTATTGGTTCGATTTATATGCCGCCCTTTTCCGGAGACTCAGGGCGGCTTACAATGCGTTAAGCAATAGCCTTCATACTTTTGTATATACCTGCTTAGTGGGGCTTTCGGCCTCCCCAAGCGGTGTTCTTTTTATACAAAGTCAGCTTATTGCCCCCACAATCCGGGTCCTCATTTTACCTACCTCGAAAGGATGGAAGGCTGGGCCAACCTTGAGCCTGGTGAGATTTGAACTTGCAGTAATTGCAGACAGCTGGTGCTACTTAACAGCACTTTAGTCTGCTGCGCCACCAAGGCTCTTTTGCAAGTTTTCTTTCATTCTTCTAAGAGTGAAAGCTACTTTTGTTTTCTCTTTTTAAATTCTAGTTCTAACAGTGTCCTATGAAGTCATATGAAGCAATATTTACATCTAATTTCATTATTACTATTATGACTATTAATCATGTAATAATACAGTATATTTTGATGTTTTGATGGGATATATCAATCTTCAGTATTTACATATTTAAGTGGTTCACCAGAAAACAAGCATAATAAAAAGCTAACTATATATAGAAAATAGGGAAATTGTGCATGGTTTAAAACCACGTTAAATCCAATTTGGTTTTCATTCTAGTTCCATTCATTGCTTTGTCTTGGCCTTTCTCATTTTGGCTACAGAAATTACCCTCTAGGCAAGAAAAACTGGAATGGAAATAAAGAACTTGCTCTACAATCATTCCCATTATATTCTTTACAAAGAGACAGCTATTATCAAACATATTTAGCAAACCAGCTGTTTGCTAGATAGGAACTGCTGGCTGATCTTTTATGCTGTAAGTCAAAGCAGCCACATTCCTCCATTTCATAAACTTGTAGGAATTAGTACTTTATGTTGTTCATGAGAATTAATGACAACTGCCAATACTGTAGATGCCTGACAACTTGGAGGAAGATGGTAGTTCTTCTCTACATGTGTCAAAATCAGGGGTAAATGAAGATTCACTTTGCCAAATTGCCAACTTATACAAAATACTCACATTTTCAATAAGTTTAGAGTAGTAATCTACTGATGTGAAGCCAAGAGTTGAAATAAACTTATTAGTATCAGTATCATGATTTCCCAGTCCACAAAATGACAGCAGATGGCACAATGTCTTCTAGAGGGAACATGTCAACAGAGGAAATAATTAAAATAAATATATTCTACCAAAAGTTAATTTTATCTTACGTGAAAATGGAGAAAGGATATGTCCTGTTATAGTAACAATAATGTGACCTCTATATCTAAAATATAAAAAGGCATGTTTGACTTAATAGAAAACAGGAATCTACTGAAAGAAACTAGCACAAATATCCATACATTCATAATAATAATAAATTACCTGCTTTGAACAGATTCAGTGATTCAGACAAATATACACTTTTGCCATAAAGAATAAAAGTAGAGAAATGTTTTTAAAAGAATTTAAAAAGAATTTAAAAGTACAATAGAAAACCATTAATAGCAACATCCAACTCTTATTTATTCTGATTTTTTTGTGGAATATTAGTTTGGCAGGTTGTATTTCATAGATGTACTTGACAATTATAAAGTATATATTTTCTACAGAATAGTTATTTTACTGCCACCTAGTGGCATACCTATAAAAACTGCAACACTTTTTTAAATGTTTGAATTTTTAACGTCATAGTGACAAAAAGTTAAATGGCAATGTACAAATCTGATAAATAGATAAAATAAATTAAGTAATCTGTTAATTCTATAGCAAAACCCATTATTCAGTATGGAAAAATTGTGTTTATTTATATGTGAAACATAAATAATATAAATAAGGCACACATAGAAGTTACTTTCCCTCTGAAGTGGTACCTATTTATCTACTTGAATTTGCATGCTTTCAGATTGCTAGATTGGCAGCAGCTGGGGCAAGAGCTCCCCCTGTCAAGTGGTATAGGTGGAATGCTGGAGGTAATATCACTCTTTGCTTAATTTCACATACATGATGTACAGGTAGTCCTGCAACTACAACCAGGATTGCACTCTCTAAGCAACATGGTTATAAAGGTGACATCATATGACTGCATTGCTGAGTGACAGCAATCCCAGCTATCCTAGTTGCCATATTATTAAGCAGGAAGATGTGGGAATCTCAGGTAGGGAATGCAGGAATTATGTGTGAGCTTGCTGCAGGAGAAGCATTAGGAAGTGTAGCTGGCGCTAGGGACCATAGGCAGTCTGGCTGGCACGGGTCATGGGCAGGCAAGCCAGCATAGGCTGCAAGTGGGCCAATGGGGGCTGCAGGTGAGTGCGCATCATGGAGTATGGCTGGTCATGGGACGTTTGCTAAGGAATACAAGATCCCTGGGATTTCATACTAATGTAGTGTATATAGTGGGGTTGCTTGGAAAAAGTGGCAGAAATAACTTACAGGACCAACTTTTGATTTTTCCTGCTGGCTTCCTGATTGACTTTGTCTTGTGGGAAGCTGACTGGAAAGATACCTCTCATTCAGTGTCATCATAATTTTGAATGATTAATGAATAAGTGGTCATGAATTGAGGACTACCTACAAATATTTTGACTGAACATGCTGTTTTTGTTTGCTACTTACTACGTTGAATGAATACGTAATTTTGGTTTCTGCTGAGATTCAGTGTGTATGTGTGTGTGCATGTATATGCATTCTGTTCATTGTATAGCTTGTGTCTTTGAAGATGATGTCTTCATCTTCAAAGACACCAGCTACACAATCAACAGAACAAAAGAGGACTCAGAGTGCACATGGACACAAATTCAGTAAGACATCATCAAAGTAATTCAATTATTATTATTACCCTTTCCACAAAAACATCTGCGTTGATAGCTTGCTCTGATCTGGTCGGTTCTCCTGTGATTTTTAACTTTTGAGTGCATTTCAGAAACAAGGAGTAACTCTGGTTAATTGGCTCTTAAGAGTTTTTTATGTTGTTGTATCATTTATTCATAACTGTACTCTATGCCCTGCACTCTAGTGCCTTCTTGCTTATGGAGATTTCAGTGCTCATTAAAAATTCACACACACACACACAAAATGTTTTATACTGTTAAATATGTGTGCTCGTGCATACCATTTATACTCTTGTGAACTGTTGATGCAGTCCATGGGTGCATTTAGCTTCAAAGGCACGTTTGAAGTTATTGGTTTGACTTGTTTCCTAGGGTTCTTTTATCCCTGTAGCATTTCAAGGGTAAAAAGAAGTTGTTTTGCTGAGTAAGGGTGTGTCTGTGATCCATAAATACTCTTGTTCTGTGTGCTGTTCAGAACTCCTAAAGATGTAAATCAGAGATTTCTTGTATTTCCCAGTGTGAATTGCCTTTGAATTGCCTGAAATTCATTTAACATTTTTGAACAGAATGTACCTATCAGATATGAGCTGTGGCTGTTGAGGGCAGGTTGAGGCATTCTAAGAACAAAACTGATTGCATTTACATGACAGGCAAGAAGTCATGAAAGATAATATGCATAGATGCTGCATGACTATATAAATTGAATAAATAAATGACTTCATGGATGTCCCATCTATTGTTCTGGCACTGTCCTCACCCAATGCACCCCACCCTACACAATAAGAAGGCTCCTGCTAAAGCAGCAGATAGAAGGCATGAGGAGGAGAGCTTTCAGCCAATCAAACAATTGCATCCTTTCCTGGATCAAAAGGTGTGGAAGTAAGTCACTTACTTCCTTGTCATCTTTTGATTAGCCTACATGCAGTCCTTGCTTAACAACTGCTCTGTTTTGTGACCATTCAAAGTTACAGCAGTGCTAACAAAGTAACTTTACTACTTTTAGTATTGTTTTTCTTCTGTGGTCAGATTTTTTTATGAGGGGTTTTTTATGAGGGGTTTGTTCTGAATCCTATTTAGTTTTCTGATAAGAGGCTTGTTCTGAATCCCAGTTTCCCACAATCCAAATATCTGAAACAATTTAAGATTTTCTGCCAAAACAAGGGACAATAAATTATTTTCAATTTTTGTTTCTATTACACCATAATTGGCCTGAAAAAGGTAAAAAAAAATAACCTTTCTAGAATACAATATTGCTTTATATATATGAAAGATCTGCTAAAGTAGGGCTATGTTTGATACTGAACAATTGAGAGTGATTAATGGATTGTGTCATTCATCTGCTTTCTCTCTTTTCTTCTTTCTCTTATTTTTTCTTCCTTATTGTTCTTCTTTCTCCCCCTACTTAAGAGGCAAAACCATGGTGTAGGTTTTTTAATTTAAGCAGTGATTTGTGGAGGGGACAGACACAATGGCTTCCTGCCGATGACAATTTCATACTCAGGTTTGTAGTCTGGATGTTATTTAAAAGTTTTTGAAGCCAGACATTCAGCTGAAGTGACCTCATGAGCAGTTATTTAGATTCTTGAGAGATAAAGCTTCCATTTGGTCAGATTTTGTTCCATTCCAGTCCCCCTTAATTTCAGGATTGTTTTTGTTTTGTTTTGTACAACATGGACAAGAAATATTCAAGGATTCAGGAACAAAAACAGGCAAACCTATCAACACAAATACTCTCAGCTGCTGCTCTGCACTAGCCACCAGATGTTATCTATTTATTCATTCTATTTTATAGATTTATAGCCCATATTTCTTCAGGGAGCTCAGGGTAGCATATTTAGTACAGTCTCCCTACAAAATTTATCCCTCAACAAGCCTGTAAGGTAAACTGAGCACAGATATTATGACTGGACCAAAGACCTTCACAGAATTTTCATAACTGACAGCAAATGTGAATCTCTGTTCCCCAATCCAATTCTAAAATGTTAGCTATTACATTATCACACCATTCTGGCCTGCAGTTTCATTATTCTGAACTCAAATCACTGTGACTATACACAGACTACGTTCGTTCTCTCTCTCTCTCTCTCCCCCTCACACACACACACACACACACACACAGAGAGAGAGAGAGAGAGAGAGAGAGAGAGAGAGAGAGAAAGAGACCAGGCAGTTTTAGCCCTTCCAGGAATGTTAGAATGAATATTTTCTAGACTAATTAAATAAAGCTTCAGAATAAAACCAAAACAAGTTCCTTAATATTTAAATCAGAGACTGCTTTTCTTGTTCAATTCATTGCACTGTAAAATTTAAAGTAATAACAAGACTTTAAACATTAAGACAAAATATGAACCGTTCTATAGCATTTATTAAAAAATAAACTGCTAATGTTGCAAGGGCAAAAGTAGTTACTTATTTAAAAAAAAATATCATGAAGAAAATGTTAACTAACAGTAGATGGTTTATTTCAAAAAGGTTCATTTCCTTCCCCAAGTCTATCTTGTATAAAAGCTACTGGCAAAATTGAGGAGCCTAAGTTAGCCTCAATTTCTCCTAAATAAGTTAGGGGAAAACGCCCTTAAAAAAAAAACCTTAGGAGATCTTTGGAACTTTGTCTACTTTTATACTGTTGCAATTTGTAGTCCAAAAAGCACTGACAATTCTCTGCATACTTTGACCACCCACATAATGGGAAGCACTATGATTAAAGTGAACCTGGCATTCCAATATTGAATAGTGTAGTCTGCTCCATGTTATCATTATTATATTTGCAGTCCTCTTTTAATCACTTTCATGTGTTGCAGCTATTCAATCTACACAGTCCAACCTGGAAAGAACTGAACATTCTTATTTTGAGTGTGTGATCTGTACATATGCACTCACATTTTGACACAGAACTAGAAACTGTGTATTTAATTTCTTATAAAGACAAAAAAAATTCCTAACTTTATGCCAAACGGTATTTATTAAAAAATGTATTTAAAAACAGTAAAACAGTGGCTTCAAACCAAATAAGAAATATACTGAAGGAATATAGGATGAGAAGGAAACAGGGGTAGAGGAAAACACTAGGGGGAATATTCCAGCACTTAAACTTTTATAGTTACATAAAATTTATTGACTAACTGGAATGACTACTAAGAGAGACAGTTCTTAGAAAGGCGAAACCAAATGATAGGTACTTCCAGATGAGTGTGAGAATGACTGCTAACAAATACCCTGTTTCCCCTAAAATAAGACATCCCCTGATAATAAGCCCAATCGGGCTTTTGAGCGCATGCGCTAAAATAAGCCTCTCCCTGAAAATAAGTCCTCCCCGAAAATATTTAAACG